CCTTAGACATCAGGCAGCGTATTCATAACCATTTCATGTAATTTACGTCTCTTCTGACTCTGATGGTTCTCTAAAACAGTACATTTCAAATCAAACCACTCTGAAAGACTTTGTTTACATCTTTACCATTTAGAAAATGTGAAAAATCAATGGAATTTCCCTTGAAGGCCTTTGAAGAGTGTGGTTGTCCAATGGGCCTCTGCCCACCTCTCCACCCACCTCCCCTTTGTTTGTTCATCAGTTAGACAGTACATCTACTCCTATACATACATACTGTAGTAGAACAGTAGAAACTGACTAGCAAGAGGGAAGCACTGTCTTGATATTTAGCAGTATTGATTCAAGAAAAACCTGAAGAGCCTGTCAGAGTGAGTAGGAAACAAATTTTCTTTCCTGGCAGTAGCTAAATTAGTAAAACAAAAGCCTATTCACTTCCTAATTTATCAGTGTTTTCCACTGATTAAATAAGATTGGCTGTGAGTGCAGTATTTTACAGGAGCTGCAGGAGCGTAGATGAGTCAAACGTACAGTAGACTATCAGCTTAATAAAAATACTTTAATTCCTGGTAGTGATTTTCATATTTTACTTTTCATAAATTGTGACCATGTCCAACATTTTTAGTAGGATTTTTTTAGGACCAAACTTCAGGTGTTCTGTTCATTTTGCTTGAATTATAGTCAGAAGAGTGTTTTTTCAGAAGAGTGTTTTAATGGCATGAACTTGTATTTCTGTGCAGTTTTAAAACATTACCTAAATATCTGTAATTGTCCTTTACGAATGTGAATTTTCCTGTTTAGCAAGTTGGGTCAACAGTGTTAGTAGGAGAAGGACAGAAAATGACTATTACCCTTGTACTGCTTTTGTGTACAGATTATAAGAGAAAAGCACCCAATGAGCCCACCTACATCTAAATATGGATTTTTTTAGCTTTTAGTGTCATATAATAAAATTTCTCTTAACATGATCAAGAAAAATGTATATGACCTGTTAAATAAAACATGAAATAAAAAACGAAATAAATGTGAAGGTACCATTTAAGCCCACTTGTGTCCCCAGTAAACTTGGTCAGGGTTTATTTTAGAAAAATGGTTAATTTTAATAATTTGATAAGCTTATGAACAACAAACGCATTTTCATAAGAACCACTATTTACAAATCTCCAAGAAGGTGGAATGTAAACTTGCCAGACTACATTCCACCTTCTGCAATTTACTTACAGTACTACTTGGAACACGATGTAGGCCTGACACTTAAAAATGTGTAAGGTGTCATACTAAACTGTAGTCAACCAAAGCTGTAGAATGATGTGGCCTTTTTCTTGTTTCAACCTAGGTAAAAAAAAAAACCTCAACCTCAGATTTCATATTTTGTCATATTTACATTGTGAACAGTAAATCTATCTGTAGATATTCTCTTTAAACCATTTTTGTCTGACCAATATCCCATCCCTGAACAGAGGGAGGTTTCTTAATACCTCTTAAAAGATGGGGCAAACTTCACTTAAGCAAACTACAAATTAATTACCCACCTTCCAGCAAACACAGGAGTTCAGTTGATGGTGAGGTTCTCAGGCAGTTGAGTTGTTACGGGACGGCAGGGAGGTGGACCCAAGTGCAAAGATGAAAACCTGTGAGAAAGGGTGTTAAACAAATTTATTGAGGTAATTTATTGGGATGCTAATTTTTCACATTGGGGATGAGATGACCCAGAACCAAGCTCCTGTTACCGCTGTAACACTGAGAAGCACAGGCAACAATGGGTAAAACACCTCAAGGAATGGGAGATAAAAGGTGGGAAAATGGTAAACAAATGAAATGCTGAAAGCAGCACTCAAACAAAGGCTGAACTAGAAACAGAAACAAAAGATGATGAGAAAACAAAAGACTCTTCCACTGTAATTATGAACAGAAGGCGGACTTTATGCTTCACTTGTTTGATCTTAGAGTACACACCTTTTGTATGGCTTGGAGCCATTTGTAGCTCAAGCCTTCTTGTGTCTTTTTTTTTTTTTGATTAATTTTGGGGCAGTTACTCTCTTTTGTTTTCTTTTCTTTTTGTTTTTTCTTTTCTTTTCATTTTGTTTAAATACCCAGCCTGAGGGCTTCCGAAAATTGGAATTCCCTGAAGTTATAGCACTTTGCCGCTGTTGCCCTCTGCTGGCGGCTGGCGGCACAGGCTGGACCCTTACATGAATACTGTTGACCAAATAAGCTGACTTTCTTTTCATTTGTTTTTGGCTCTGAAAACAGGTAGAAAACCATACATTATACTCTGTCAAGATATCAGATGTATTTTAGAGTCTCCTTTTATGACCAGATATCATAATTATTATTACATAATAATTATTACATAATAGCACACTATTAACCAAAACCTTGAACAAAGTAATGGCAGACAGCAATGGATTTGCAGTGATCTGAAGGCTGCTGCACACAGAACAGGAAGCTCTGTGCCATGAAGAAAAGAGACAAGCACAAATTCATTTTACACTCTAGACCTGGGCGATATGGCAAAAATGTAACATCATTATATGTCAAGACATTTATCATACACAATATATCACAATGTGTATTTTTTCTAACATCTGATAAGTTGGAAGAGTCAAAGTAGGGCCACATTTAAAAATACTGTCAACATGAATGAATACAATTATTTGTATTCAGCATTTAATATAAACAGGAAGAATTAAACCCTCTTTGTAATCAAACATTGGAGAGTCTTTTTAAGTCCTGACAATATCCAGGAAATGCTCAGGGAGGCATACTGTGACATATAGTGATAATTTATCATGATAACTGTGATTACTGGCATATTGTTCAGCCCTACCTTACTCGTGTAAATATAAAGGAATACACCTTTCAATATTGTTTAGCAAATGTATCATGTTTGATATCCGCAACTCATTGTCTTTAAGCTTAAGGTATGAGGTGAAATATGTTATGACATGATTGGGCTGGTAACATTAGCTGACTGTCAGTGTTTGTTTGTCTTACAGACTATAGATTGACTGCCTTTCTCTGTTAAATTACAGTGGGGTAAATATGTATTAAACAAATCAACATTTTTTAAGTAAACACATGTCCAGTGCAGCTATTTTCATGAAATTTAGATCAGACATTGGTATTAACTCACTAGAACTACACAGCTAAATAATTTGTAGCATTCCCATCCATAAAATTTATGTGCAATAATATGCAATAACACAGGTAGTATTGAACTCTTACCTGTGCTAATTAGAATCAGCTAGTGATTTATTAGTAATCTGAGTTAGTGCATTTTGGTAGGTTGATACTTCCACCATTCGAAAAAGGGGTGCCCACCTCTGAGTGTAAAAAAATCAATTCTCACCAAACTCAAGAAACATCTCATGATGGGTAACACAAAGAGCTCTCCCAAGACCTTCCCAATAAGATTGAGCAGCACAGCAATGGCACTGGTTACTGAAGAATTTCTTAACTCTTAAACGGTCCTATAAGCACCATTGGGTCCAGTCTCCGCAAGTGGAAGGAACATCACTTGACCATCAACTGGCCATGCACAGGAGCCATGTTAAAGCTTGTTTGAAGTTTGCTACAGAAGATTTGGAGAAGCCTGTAGATTACTTGGAGAATGCTGTCTGACGAGACAGAAATTGATCTTTCTGGCAACAATATGACACAATGTTTGAAGGAGAAATGGCTCTGCGTATGACCCTAAAAATACCATCGCTACAGTGAAGTTCAGAGGTGGAAGCATCATGGTATGGGGCTGTTTCTCTTCTCATGGTACTGGTGGAACCAAACTTATGGAAAGGACGCTGAAAGGAGCCATGTACCGGAAAACTCTTGAGAAGAATCTTGCCATCCAACATGACAATGACAACAATTCAAGGACAACAATTCAAAATATACTACAAAGGAGACTCTCCTGGGGATTCTGTAGGAAAAAAAAAGTTGGAATGGTCCACTCAAACACTAGGCTTAGAAATGATGGGGAAAATTATGTATGTAACTGAAGATCAAGATTCATCGGGAGGCCCCTCCCCTCACAGTCCCACAATGGGAGACATTAGTTTGGTCATATAGTGAGTATCTTGCAGCTGTCACTGCCAAAATTGTTTCTCCACCAAGTATTAAATAAACTTCAGTTAGCCTGTTCAATATTTTTTTCCTGTGTCATTCCACTTTATTGCCGTTCGACTTTATTTTTAATCCTCTTTATTCCATAACTGTTCTAATGGATTGGAGTGTTATGTTTAGCTGTGTGGTTTCATTGAGTTAATATAAATATCTGGTCTAAATTTCATGTGACTAGCTGTGTTGGAAATATACTAAATCTAAAAAATGCTGATGGGTTGAACACTTATTTCCCTCACTGTATCACATGCTATGGTTTTTAGTGGTTTCATTCTGGGTTTAATTTAATGCAGCTGCGGGAAAATGCTGAGTACTGTGCTGTAACTCTTAGGAAAGCAGGGCAGTGCTGAAGGTCAGTGAACTATGACAACATTATCGATTCAACCAGTGTGTGCATAACGTTAAGAAAATGAGGCGGGTCTTCACTTGCTAAGAAGCAGAGGTGGTTATGCATTGATAAGATAAAATGCAGAAGCGATCCACACCCGACACCCCCCCCCTCAAAAAGAACAATGAGCCAGTCAAATGCAAGCGCATACCTAGATGCTAGTTGCCAGTAAGAGACACCTAAATAGGCCTGTTTAGGGTGTGGTAATCTGATAACAGGATCTGCAGTATGGTAGATGAGCTGACGAGACAAGACAGAGGCTTTGATTTCACATATGGATAGGATTATGCAGGAATCCAACAAATCCTCAAACTCCTAAGTTTCATATATTGTCATATATTGTAATCATTTTCTTGTGTGTGCAATAACTTGAGTAAAAATCCACAGAAAGATTCTTCAGACGGTTTTAAGATCTGCCTGGCCCAGACAACTGATGCATTTTCCTGTTTAGCAGGTTATTCTAGTTGTGTAGCAAGAAGAGCACTGAGAACGAACAATGGAGAAGGACAGTGATTACAGTAAGTCTGAACTGTGGAAATCAGTGATTAGATTAAACTACTGTTATGACTCACTAAGACTATGCAAAACTAGATTGGTGAGAATCTTTGTATTTACAAATACATTTCCAAAAAACAGTTGGGACAGCACATAAAATGAAAAATGCAGAATTTATTCATCACTGCTTTCTGTTTTTATCAATGTTTCACACACTGTCCCAACTGTTTTGGAAATGAGGTTGTATGTGATTTAGATTTTGATCATTGGTCATCTAGGTCATAGACAGTAGTTTATAATATTTGGAGAGACATTATGTGGTATGTAGAGGAGATATTCATAATGATGACTATTACAATAGAGTGCAGCTGGAATCATTTATCCCTGACCTGCTAGAATTATAAAAGTGATGAAGAGCCTAAACACTGAAACGTTAGACCATGTAAGGCCTGTTTTTTTGTTGTCTCAAACACTCTTTTTTGCAGAGTATAATCCTGCTACACGAACAGGTGGTTCACAGTCATCTGGAGTAAACATCCAAATGCATGTGGGATCAGGTGCTACAGTGTTCGTGCCTTGTCTGTCAAATGTGAAGGCAAAGGACATAACATTCTCACAAAATAATGCTGGTAAGTACAAATATTTTAGGTTTAAACTAAAGGCTTTAAGTAGACATTGTTGGTGATATAAAAGTAGTGTGTTAATATTACTATTATGATGATGATTATTATTATTATTTTGCAATGTTTTGGAAAAGTGCATATTACTTGAGGGGAAAACTGTATGAATGAATTGTAAATCATTGCTTTTATAAACCTCTTTGTAGGTGCAAGCTATTCTGGAAGTGAGATAGGTATGTTAATTTGGAATTTCAATTACTAAGAATTTTAGATTTGATCTTTTTATTACTTTAACAACTATTGTTAATTATTTCACAGATTTTTGACATAAAATGCATAATTAATTCAAGATCAAAGTCTGTTTTACAATAGTTGTAAAATAGCTTTGGCCAAAAGTTTACTTTCTTACAATCTAATTATGGCCTATTTACTACTATTTTACAATTCAATATTTAAATTTGCTGTATGTACATTGTTGATATCACATTTCACATCAAAACAGTAAGACTCAGTTCACATCTTAATGATAGAATGGGCAGCAAATAAAAAAAAATTGGTGTGATTCCCCATTAAAATAAACCATACTAAAAATGAATATAATCTGTTGTAAAAAATAATGCTATAAAATACATTGCTCACTGCCCTGCACGTTTTGAATCTGACCTTGTTTGGGTTTGTCATTGCCAGATATAACCTCTGTGATCGCAGAATACAAGACGTCACTGGTGGCTGAGCATGAGCGCATTAGGGAATATACCTCTCGTCCTGGTGAACATGTGCTGCTTGCAGATCGCTATGTGGATCCACTCATCATTCAGAGACATAGAAAGAAAAAAGAGAAAGAAAAAGAGATTCGCTCCAGAGGAGAAGATTTCCACCATGCCAGAACCCACCATACAGACCACCATATTACTGTTGACAAGCTGTTCAGTCAAGAGGACAGCCCAAACAGCGTGCGTCCAAAAGCTGTTATTCTCCAAGGCAACTCTGGAAATGGAAAGTCTTTCACAGCACAAAAGATCCTTTACGACTGGGCGAATGGAAATCTCTTTGCAGGAATCTTTGATATAGTCTTTCACCTGAGATGCTCAGATCTCAATGATATTGCTCGAGACGTAAATCTGGTGGAGCTTCTGAACTGCAGTGAGGAAATGGCTCAGATCTTAAAGAAAACACCAGAGAGAGTACTTTTCTTGCTTGATGGGTTCGATGAACTCAGACTTTCACTGCCTAAAAAACCATTGCCCGTCAAAGCAGACATCAAAGCTGAGCCTGGTGCTGTTCTAAGCTCCCTTCTGAGGGGATTCATATTGAAAGAGTCCTTCCTGCTGGTCACCACAAGGTCAATAGCAGCAGAAAAACTGGGAAAACTACTCAAGTTTCCACAGCGCTTCACTGAGATCATGGGCTTCTCTGAGAACGGGATACAACAGTACTTTCAGAAGTTCTTTGAGCATGATGAGCGTTCCAGACAAGTGTATGAGGAAGTTAAGGCAAATGGAACACTTTACTCAGTCTGTTCCAGTCCAGTCATGTGCTGGCTTGTCTGCAGTGTCTTTAAGGAAAAGAGCAAAACAAGTAAGAAGATGACACGTGGATTCAGAGGTACCACCTCCATATTCATTGATTTTGTGTTTATTCTGCTGGAGCATCATTGCCAAGGCTTAACTGAATCTCAACAGCATGACCTGCTGAAGGACCTTGGCCAACTAGCGCACGAAGGAATTCTTGAAGGCCGAGTTCTGTTCCAGAGAAACAAAGTGCCAGAGACGATTCTAAATGTCTTGGATTCGACCAACATTCCCTTCCTCTGCACCTTTCACTGCAAAGACAGAATAAATATGAAGGAAATGTTTTCCTTTATGCATCTCAGCTTTCAGGAGTTCTTTGCTGCGCTCTTGTACACTTTCCTTGATGAAACAGAGGCCAAGACAGAAATAGAAAAGCTGCTTTCCTTTTCAGGTAGGAACAGTTATCATGTCTTACCTATTATCCAGTGCCTTTTTGGTCTCTCCAACCAAGCAGTGAGCAACTTACTTACGAAGAAACATCAACAAGCACTCTCTCATGCCACATGTGCCCAGCTGCAAGAATGGCTCTACAACTTTCTACAAATCCATTACTTGGATGCACATTTATGCAGTTTTGCTCTTCAGTGCTTGTATGAGTGCAATAACAACCAGGTTGTGCAAAATGCTATGGAGATTTGGGAAGCAGCAAAGTCTGGCATTGAAATTAAGTTAAGTTCTTCAAATACAACGGATTACCATGCAGCAGCGTACTGTCTGCAATTCTGTAGATGCATCAGAACCCTGGACCTGCAAGGAAGTACAACAGAGAATCTAATAATGCTAGAAAAGGCGCTGAGCAAGTGTGATAAACTACAGTTAGTATTATCATCAATATATTTCATAGTCAACACAAATTCATTGTTCAGCAACATTACCCAGCAGCTGTGTTTAAAGGAGTTATATACTATATTAGTATAGTTTGTTAGTTTATCCTCTTGATCTGCACAGGCCCATCCACTGACTGCCAGAACCAAATGAGAACAAGAACCAAAACTCTGCTTTGACTCTACAATGATTCGTTCACATTATGTGGTCACACAGCATACCACTTGAAAGTATTACAACTCAGCTTTCATCCTCTGGACACCATTTTATGCCAACTATTTTGGTGTAAATGTTTAATTTTGTTTCATAAGGCATGCTTTTCTTAGTAAAAGAATCCATGTAGGTTCCTACCTCTAAATGCCCAAAGCAGGGAAACACAGTTGACCCTCCACTCAGACCATGGTGGATGTCTTGACAGAGACTTAGCAAACATAATCCAAAAACATTTTTAGTCCCAAAATGTGCTTGTGTTGTTGAATGTGTTAAAGAGTCTGACATGACTGGACTCTGCAGACTCATGCATTGTCTTTAAAACTACCTCCTGTTGTCCCCTGGACATGATAACCTGCCATCTCCTTTCCCTCATTGCCAGCTCCATGCAGATCTTCTTTGAGACATTATCCACTAGCTGCAGTGTCTCAAACTTGTTCCAAAGCCCTTTTTAATGGGGACAGGGCTGCCACCTCCTCTCAGTGCAGGTCTGAGCCCTGCCTCTGTTGTTCAGCCCACCCATCACTGTCCAATACCAGTGCTACACAGCTCTGTATGGTCACACTGCAAGCCACCTCATCCTGCTTGTCTACCCCCTGAGACAGATTCTATTCTTTAGCTTCTCTGTGCTCACAGTACTCGCATGCTGCTCACTACATGGGTGCCAGGAAAGGGCATCAGCATTACTGCGCTACTTGCCTGCACAGTTGGTTATGGTGAATTTGTACATCTCTAGCTCCTCCAGCCACTTGCCCTTCTGGTTCTCTGAAGGTCATCAGCTACTGCAGGGAGGCATGCTTGAAGTGAAGGATCAGCCTTACAGGTAGTATTTGAAGTGCCTGATAGCTGAGACATTCTTTCTCCGTCAGGCCTTTTCTGCGAAAATACTGCCCTCACCCACCTCTCTGCTGGTATTAATATCCAGAACATAGCGTGAGTCAGGGCAGGCGCCACACCCCCAAAAGTGGTGGGGTGAAACATATTGTTTCAAAAAAAGTGGCGAAATGCAATTACACCACTGACCAAAATTCCCTGTCTTTATAAACCTTGAGAGGTGGGTAGTAACTAGTTACATTTACTCAAGAACATATACTTAAGTAAAATATTGATGGATTACCTCTCCTGAGTATTCTCAAATCCTTCTACTCAAGTATATTAGTGAGTAAAGGAATCTTTTTACTCAGTTACATTCTAGTGATTTTAGCCATTTTACTCAGTTATATTTTCATATTTAGTTACTGTAGCACGGCATGTGCTACCCCGGGCTCAAGGAGGATGCTGGAGGCAGGATTCAGGGTTGCAGCAGCCATTTCTTTAATTCAAACCAAACAAACAATACAAAACCCCAAAACCTAGGCTGGCCACTTTTCAGTGGCTTCAGTCAGCTAGACTTTTCAGTCCTTCTCCTAAATAAGGAGCTTTCTAGCTCCTCAGTCTCTTGCTGCTGCTTGTCCCTCTCTCTCTCTGTTCCCTCTCAGCTCTTTTAAAAGGAGCACCTGAGCCGAGAGGGAACGAGAGCTCGCCGCTCCGCCTCCCTGTCACCGCCCCCAGCCTGCAGCTCAGCAACCCGGGTCGAACGTGAGGTGTAGTGAAGCGGCCTCGCTGCGTAACAGGGGGCGGGGCCCAGGCAGAGGGGCTCGGGACCCGCTCCTTGCCCTGGTGCCTCTCGTTGCCGGCACCATCGTCGTCTTCCTCCTCCCGCCGTCACTCGGGGGAGCCTGGGCTTTGCGCTCACCCGCAACCCCCCTCCCCCACAATTGCGGCTCTCTCCCTGCCGTCCTGGCCGAGGTTCGTCGCCGCTGGGTGTTCGGGCCCCATCTTCCTGCCAGCTCTCGCGGCCGTCATTGTCAGGGCCCGGGGGGCGGGCGTATGCCACATACCCCCACCACCCAACTCAGGCCGGGAACCCAGGACTCGCTCCTTGCCCTGGTGCCTCTTGTTGCCGGCACCTTCGTCGTCTTCCTCCTCCTCCCGCCAATATTTGTACAGCTTTGTGATTGGTTACATCTCTGACTTTGGAGCTTTGTAATTTAGACTAAAAAAATGGGCTACTCACATATGACATGCAGTACCAATCCCCACACCACATTTGTGATGCCTGAGGAATGTCAGTTCTTTGTTCAGAAATCTGCACTTCCTGAGATGTTATTTCAAACCTGCTGCCCTGATTTTTTTTTCCAGTACTTTGGGCAAAGCTGTTAAAGCAGAATTCGAAAGAGCTTCTGTTCACCAGTATCTTGTACACTTTGATGTCCTTGATGAAACAGAGGCCAAGACAGAAATAGAAAAGCTACTCTTCTGCAGGGCTGGGGGTAATGGACCATCCCCTGGTCACCTGTGCTGCTCTTTTTCTCTGTCTTCGGGAGGGTGAACTCTTCCCTCGGCCCAGTTCTTTGCAGCGTCTTTTCATCATCTGTCGGCCTCGCCTCCCTCTGAGCCCTCCTGGCATTCCCTAACTGGTGGCCATGCCAGATCCTTGCACTAGGCATCTGGTGGCTTCATCACCACCACGCAGCCATCTCTGTGTGGTACTCTCTAGGTCTAATTGGCACCCATGGCTTCTCAAAAAGTCCAGGCCTAGAATGCATGCCTTGCACTTCAGCTATCCAGACTAAGTGGCACATATTCTTGCACCCGAATGTGAGCATCAGCCATCCTCTCCCCCTCATCATTACTAGCTCACTGATCACTGTGCGGAGATGAACTGCCATGACTTGCATCTTGAACCCTGCACCTACCACTTCTGGCTGGGCCACTGTGACCATTGACCCCATGTCCACCAGAGCAGTACATGGAACCCCTTCAATGTTGTTGGAAACATGGCAAGGGTTTGATATGGATGTTCACTCTGCCATAGTCACTGCTTGTTTGCTGCCTGTACTGTTCTTTTGGGCTAGGGCTGCATACATCTAGGACATGGAGAATGTGGATATAGGGGTCTGCAATGTTCTTACTGTGACCCCGGCATATTTCCAGCTAGCTTCACCTCCAACAGACAAGCCCTAGCCAGATGTCCCAGCCAGCTGCACGTCCAGCACTGGCGGCCCTGTACCACTATCTGTGTGGCTGTGGGTATGGCCAAACTTTGGATCAGTTCTGTCAGCTTGGCTTGTCAAGATGGAAACTTTTTTTTTCTTCTGAGACCATTTGTAGTGTTCACCACTATTAGAAGACCCAAGTTGTGGTGTTTTATTTTCAGCTGTTACTGGCCACAGCTGCAAAAGTCCCTTAGAAAATGAACCCAGTTCTGTACAACACCTCCCAAAATCAAAATACAAAAATACTTCTTAAAGATGCTACGATATGATTGACAGCTCCTCTAGCCACTGAGAATTTGACTTGCTGGAGATTTAAAAACAGTTGTTTTTATTATAAAAGTAGGCCTTTATTATAAGAAATAATCGTAAATCATCTATGATGTTATATGATGTATAATAACATATCATTATTTATGCAATTTACACAATGATCTTTTGCAGTATTTTGTGCCATTGCCTTAAATTTTATTTTCAATAATTTCTAAAGTGTTAGCAGCCTAAAAACACTAAATCTCTAAATGTGTTTTTTCAAGACAAACAACTTTAATGAACTGAATCATTTCAACATTTGTCACTTTGTCTGTGTTTAATAAAAAAAGCAGTGCTGGTCAAGAGGATGATGAACTATATTAGTATAGAACAATTATGTAATTGTACTTTACATTGTACATTTACATTTTACAATAGTAGTGACATTTTAAAACTCTAAAAACACTCCATCATTCTGTCTTTTTTTCAGCTTAAGTTTCAGCCATGTGTCAGATAACGATGTTGATGCTCTGATCTCAGCTGTGGAAAAAGGAAAAGACCTTCGGCATCTGCGGTAATCATTTTTCCTATCAAGTTCAAGTTTCCTGTACTGTTCATGAGAATAAGCTTAAAAGTACATGACAAAACATACTTGGTTGAAACCAAAACCAATATTAAAGACACACTAGGATAAAAAACTGAAACAGGAAAATGAAAATGCTGACATTTTTAATTACATACATTTTTAGTTATTACATAAAATAAACTTATTAAATGATTATAGGCATAGCCTTCAGTATGTGTGAAAAATACTACAAACCCAATTACAAAAAAGTTGGGTTAGTATGTGAAATACTAATTAAACAGAAAACAGACTTGCAAATTTACTTTGACCTCTATTTGAACAAAAGTGTACAAATACAAGATGTGTGTACTACTTTTAAACTTCACTGTTTTTGTAAATAATTATGATTAAACTGATACCTGCAATGTTAGAAAAAAGTTGGGACAATCTAACACTAGAAACATTTGTTAAATGTTCAGATAATATTTTAAAGGAGGTGCTTAGGTATAAAAGGAGCACGTAGGAAAGGCCTAGTCCTTTATGGATGGGATGAGGCTAGGTGCTTTGCCAAAATACATCAGTATAAAATCCTGCAGTTTAAAATGTTTGCTCCTCAGTGAGTGTTTGTAGGGAATTTAGCATTCACCCTCTACAGTACCTAATGCCAAAAAAATCAGGGAATCTTGTAAAAAAAGAGGTGAAAGACAATTCAGATAACAGTTCAAAAGCCAGTGTCTGTCATGATATATGTGTGGGGTATTAGTGGGTAACCTGCACATCGGTGAAGGCACTATTAGTGCTGACCATATTTTTTAGCAATATGTTCTGCCTCTTAGACGATGTCTTTCTCAGGGCCGTCAGTGCTTATTTCAACATGAAAATGGGAAACCACATTCTGCATGTTACAACAGAATGGCTGCGTAATCACAGAGTGTGGGTGCTAGACTGGCTTTCCAGCAGTCCAGAACTTTCTCACTGAAAACGCAACAAATGAAGGACCCATACGGTTGCACAGCTGAAGAGTTCTATAACAGAAGAATGGTAAAAAAAATGTGCTTTCAGAATTGGATCTGTTTTTTGTCTTCAGTCTCCAAGTGTTTATTAAGGGATGTTAAAAGGAAAGATGATGTAACACAGTAGTAAACATGATCCTATCCCAGTTGTTTTTGATGAGCATATATTTACAAAAAGTTCATAAGGTAAAAGGTTAAATATTGTGTTTTTGTACCATGTGCCAATTTAATACAGGTCAAACAGAATTTACTAATCACTGCTTTCTGCATTTCACATACTGTCTTAACCTTTTTTGGAATTCGGTGTGTACGTCTTTGAGAGCAGAGAATGGTTGTTCATCTAAGGCAGTTATTTCCAGCCTTTTTTTCAGATTTTGCCCTTTGGCTGTGGTTTGTGATTTTTAAATATTTAATCATTGTTTTTTTTTCAGTTACAGTTTTCTGCCTTTTTCACTTTCAACAGAAAACAGAATTTTAATTATTTATTTTTTTCAACCATTGTTGGCTAAAAACACTTGGTGGCCGAAATTTTGCTACATCCCTAATTTTCTGTCCTGTTTCAACATTACTACAGTGTACAAAATGGTGATCTCTCTGACCAAAGTGTGAGGAGGATCATGAGCGCACTGCACAAACGCAGATCAGTGGGTAGTGTTCATCTGTCAGTGAAGACCATCAATTACACCAATGCTGAAATCTTCATGAACACTTTCAGAAGTAATGTGGTCTCAGAAAAACTCAGGTAAATGATAAAAATGCACACAGTCAAAAGTTTTACATTTACGTTCCCCCCCAAAAAATCACAGAGACATGAACACATGGATACCACATATCACTGCTGTCAGAACAAAACCTCGTATCTCCAAAATAGTAACTTTACAGGAGAAGGAAAAAACATACTTTACTTTTAATGTAAGTCAATGGAACCAGACTTTTTTCCAAGTCATCTTGGGACGTTTATTTTGATCCGTTCATCATGAAGTCCACATTCAATGGAAAGGGCAACAGGCATTTTCAAATTATTTCAAAAACTAAAAAATAACAAAAATGGTTTTGTTCTGACACCAGCAATATGATATCATATGGACACATATGATATAGTCATATGGACACATATGATATAGTCATATTTAATCAGAAAAAGCATGACGATTATGATTGATGGTTCCTTTTTTTTTTGTAATTTCACACCTTCTAGTTGCAATCTCTGATAATGTAATGCTACATATATGTTTCCTGTTTACTCAGTTTAAGTGTGGGTACAAAGTGCAGGAACAGTGAAGAGAACCTCTGCTCACATCTTGAACTGTCACATGAACTTGCATTTGCCAGGTGAAACTCATGGACGTTGCACTTTTAATATGATACATTTTAATAAAGCACAGTTAAACCGAGGTGTGCGGCATATTTACAATCTGTCTGGTACATTTTAGAAATACTATGTCAGTTCTTTGACCTTAATAAAATGTTTATATTGCATAGCAAAGGTAAAGGTTTAAAGGAAGCTCGCACTGAAAAGCTTTTCTGTGTTTTACATTTCGTTCTGCTTTGGGATTTCAGAATATCTGTTGAGCACAAAAAGCTGGATTCATATGATGTGCACATTGACTCTGGGAAACCCGGACAGACTTTCAAGTTCATTTGCTTCAGTGATGACTGCTCTGACATTTCAATAATGTCTGCCTGTGACTGGAGGAAGTTCCTTCAGATATCAAGTAATCTCAAAAAAATGTAAGAATATTTCATCTGCCTCCTCTAGTTTTATTGTTATTACGTTAAATGCTCCTTGCTAAATTACACAGTGAAACTCTACTTATCACAAAGATCAAAGACATCCCAAAGAACCCACCTTCTAAATGGCTTGATAGTGGATGAAATTAAACCGTATGTATGGAATAGACATTAATACCAGCTATAATCCTGTAACTGACAAACCAAATTATCCCAAAGCAAGCTCCTAATGCTTGCTAAAAATGCATAATGATATGTATATTGTAATATTAATTATGAATTGTTTTCAAAATGTTCAATGACGTTTGTTGTTCCATGTTTTCTAGAGAAAATCCTGAGTTCCATGAGAATGTAGACGCACTTGTGTCTTTCCTTCACTCCGTACATGATATACGAGAAGTGAAACTTCATGCTAAAAACTTGAGTCAGAAGTGCGCCGCAAAGATCCTTTCTTTCTGCCATGCCAGGCCTTTGCAAGACGAGAAGGATTTCCGTTGGTAATAGACAGTTCAAAACTACACAAACTACATACAATACATGTGTTTTAGAAGTTACTGTTGCTTATACTCTTGCCAGCCACACTTGTTATTTAGATCCAAACTTGTGAATAGTTGGAATAGGTTAATGATTGACACAACCTAAGAAAACATCAAACAGCACTGTGTTTTACGTAAACAAGGATTTAGGCTTTGTTGAATGAAGCTCAATCTAACATAACATAACATGGAGTAGCCAAGGCCAGTTAGTTACTCTCGAACCTTGGAATGAATTTTGGTGCAACTAGGTTAGAAAGAAAGATAATGGATGTGCAGAGGGGCATGCCCACCTGCCTAGTCTCTATGAGCAAGGGGTTATAGAATGTCCACTGTCAAAGTAAACACTCCCATTATGGGCACATGCTCTTAGCCACGTATGCCGCCAGTCCTCCCTCTGGACCACATCCTGTCCCCCAGGGCACAGGAGCAGAGAGACTGAGCACTGCGTCTCACTGCTTGCCGACACGAGTAGCAGCACTCCCCTGGCCGCTCTCCATCTTCTCCACCACCCATCGCTCCACAGATGCCAGCGAGGCTGCTACTTGTGTATGCTGGAGATCTGGTGTCTGGCCTTAACCAGTGAGCATCCGTGGGCCGGCCTTCCCTCACTGGTTCCGGCCTCCAGCCTTGCCGCTCCACCCAGGCCTTGCCGGCAGGTTCTTGTGGCCAGCCACCATCTAGGCATCTTCATGTTGCCCTCCAGGCTGGCTCTGCTGTAGAGCTTCTCTCAGCAACTTCTCACTGCCTGTTTTTTGTGCTGGTCCTCCTCCTTGACCTGGGCTCAGTTCACTATTCCTCTCCAGGGTGGAGGGAGCGATCCCACTTCTGACCAGTTTGGCATTTGTGCAGATTAAGAAGACTCAGGAAACATAGCAATTCAATTGGATGCCTTTTTATTGAACATAGCAGCAGGGGAGACCCGCTGGTCGATGCTACTGAACGCTGAGGATAGCAGGCGGCCACAAGCCTCTAAATGACTGTAGGCACTAACACTGCCTCACTACCCCCACACAGGAGCACAGAATACTACATTTGACACATTGCTGCACCAGTACCGTCCACAAGAACAACCCATTTACATTATTTAAGTCTCTTTTACTGCAAATCCAGCACGACTATGGCCAGTAGTGGGTCACTACAAAAACATGCAAAAACATGTCTTTTCAGGTGCATACAACAAAATACAGAATTGCTTGTGTCTATTTCTCAGGTATGATGTTAGGGAATGTTGATGTACCTCCTGAAATTTGTTCAGCGGCATCCCCTAGAAAATATTCATAGGTATATTGAATACATACATGAATGTAGTTAGGCTACCACTACCTCGAGAGTACATTTTTAGCCAAATATGCATATACAGTCATATGCAAAAGTTTGGCACCCCTGGTCAAATTACATGTTTTGTTTATTCTTTAAATATGAAATATTTAAAGAAAGTGTGAAATAAACACATCCCCTACAGAGAACACAGTTCTGCACAATTTAGTGGATAATTACTGTTTTAAGCATACTTTTTCCCCCCAAATAAATTGTGGACTAAAATTAAGAAAAATGCCATATTTAAGTTTGTTTCCTGTAGAGAATGGCTGTGGTTTCACATATTGCATGGGTAAGGCCTTTAGATTTAGCTGCTCTGTAGTACCCCTCCAAATGTTTCAACAAAACTATAGCACCGCTGTAAAAATACAACAAAAAACAAAACCAACAAACAAAGAACAACAACAACAACAAAAATCTAGTGAGGAAAGATAATAAGTAGTGGCTTTTTTGCTTTCCCCATATTTGTATATCCTGTTCTGCCTGGATAATGTATTTAAAAACACTACTGTAGTAATTTTATTAATTTCTATTTATGTACTATGTATGTATGAAACTGTGCAATTTTGAATCTATGTGCTCTTTTTTTCCTCATTGGCAGGTTTAAAGTGGACAGTCTCAAAGGCAAGGATGAAGAGGACATCTGGTCTCTGTCATTTGGCGATCATTTAGAGTGAGAAGATTTTTAACTTCTTTTTTTATTGTGTCTGAGGAAGAGGAGAAGTGAGGCAAAAAGGCGGACTGTACAGACTGCCACAAGAGCAAGCATATGAATAGTTTAACATAGGTTCTGTCTTGCACAACAATCTTAGCAGACATTTGAGGAAGGCTACAGCGATCCCTGCCGTATACCTCACTTTGCAGTTTCCCACTATTGTATACTGTTCAGCAACATTGAAAATAGCCAGACAAAAAGAGGTATTCTATAATCACCCATGAAAAGCGGCATCATTATGAAAGATGGGGTCTCTTTACAATGCACATGTAAAATCAGGGGCGCACTGGCAGCAAAAAGCAGCCTGGGAATTCACTGTCAATTGGCCCCAATGTGACACATCAAATGTGGATTGACACAACATATTTGACGATCAATGAGTCATTATTTGAAAAACACAATCTGTTAATTTGTATTTTTTGCATTGGGCTAATATGTAAAATGATGAAACTAATCTCCCAAGGTTTTCCTCCTCGTGTATGTGTGTACAAAAAGCAAAAACTCAAACTTGAATTAATGTAATGATAACCTGACACCTAATTTGTCGTAATAGCCTGCTATTATTATCAGACTTATTTAAAATAACTCATCACTGTTACCTGCAGAATACTTAAATAAATCTGTTATTTTAGCGCACTTTGTGGCATCAGCCTGCAAAGTCTTTTCTCCACCTTCTCTGCACCACCAGTGTTACATTAGATTCAGTTCTTCCTCAAATTTACGTTCCCCTTCAGAAATCAAGTGCCTAGTAGTGTAGAAATCAGCAGCAAACAACACTATGGAAAGTGTTCAAGAAAGGTGCAAATATTTGCTTTGTCCTCGATTTGACTATTAAATTGAGAATACGTTTTCACACATTTTGCTTTACATTGTTTTAATGCTGCGTGAATGCACCACCTGAGACCATGATTTATGAGGGGGAATTGATGCAGTCCTGCTAGAAATAGAAACCCAGAGAATAACGCTGGTGGAATTAATCCAAATGACCATGTACCCCATTTTTTGAACTCACTTCAGTACTTGTGATGGCTACTTGCTATGACAGATGACCTGCTGCTTAGACGACCTATTGGGGGGAAAAAAAAACCTGCAGATCTTTAATAACCTTGTGTTTGTGTACAAAAAGGTGTTGTTGCTTTACAAATGCATTATTCATTAATGCTGCTGCAAACAATTTGTAGATATGGTAATTAATGATCTTGATAAAACTAATTGAAATGTTTGTTGCTCTTTTTTGCCTTTCAGTAACATAGGGAATCTTTTTCGTCTGGGTTTAAAAGAACAAGCTTGCAGGTACGGAAAGAAGGGAAAGAACATGATCCTTTTATAAGATGTGTGGTTAATTGCAGCATTAGATGGAACAGGTTATAGCTGGGAGAGGCAAATTCATGCTGTAATTTTGTCATTGCTCAAATGGTATGCAAGACCGGACGTTCATATTGAAATAATATCAACATAAATCCTCCTCTTCTCTCGAGGAATGATGATAAATCCTGATTTGATGATTCTAATATACTTTGTGTTGAATTTAATGGTTTCAGTCCTTATACAACACGGGACGCGGAGTCCGCCCCACTACTTAGGGAAATCTCTCTTAGATTCCCAGTTTTGAAAAGGGGTTGTGTGGACTGGGAGGATCTTCTCGGAAGGCTCTGCCAGATGTTGAAATCACTGGAAAGGCAAGTGTGATGTGCTAAATGATCTTTATTGCACATTCTGATTTTCACTCATGTTTTAATGAAAGCTTCATCTGGAAAGTTCTTGTTTATTTAGAGTGTAAGAGTAAGTAATAATACATTTTTTAGAAGTAATGTTTTGTAGCAACTCTAACCGTGAGGGGAGGAAAGACGCCGGGGGCAGGGGTGAAGGCGGAGAGCTTCTTTTTATTATTATTGACACAACGCAAAACACGCGGCTAGCAGCCCACAAAAGTTTTACAACACGCTCGCTGGCCACTTTTCAGTGGCTTCAGTCCTCTGTCTCAGCTCAGCTCAGCTCTGCTCTCACACCTTCGCTGGTCTCCTTCTCTCTCCGGGCTCTGCCAGCTACTGAGAGAAGAGATGACAATAAGTAGGCTGGCAGAACCAAGGCACAGGTGAACAACATCAGCTACTTAGCCCACTGGTTCAGCCCGACCAGCCTCTCCGTCCCACATTCGACGCTCGGCCACGCCCCCTTCTCCACATACCCCCACCACCCGACGCAGGCCGGGCAGCCGTCTGGCCGACACCCCACTCCCCCCCGCCCGAGCGGGAGAGGAAGTCGGCCACCGCCATCTGAGCCTCCGGCCTGTGAACCACTTCAAACCTAAAGGGTTGCAGAGCTAGGTACCAACGAGTGATTCGGGAGTTGGAGTCCTTCATGCGGTGGAGCCACTGGAGAGGGGCGTGGTCGGAACAGAGGGTGAAAGAGCGCCCCAATAGGTAATAGCGGAGGGTGAGGACCGCCCACTTGATGGCCAAACATTCTTTCTCAATGGTGCTGTACTTAGTCTCCTGAGGCGATAATTTTCGACTAATGTACAGCACGGGGCGATCCTCCCCCTCCACTTCCTGGGACAAAACGGCCCCCAGCCCTCTGTCTGACGCGTCTGTCTGCAGAACAAAAGGGAGAGCAAAGTCAGGCGAATGCAACAGCGGGCCCCCACAGAGGGCTGCCTTAACCCGGGTCACCGCCTGTTGGCACTGCTCCGTCCACTGAACCGGATCTGGTGCTCCCTTTTTAGTGAGATCGGTCAGCGGGCTGGTGATGTCCGAATAATTAGGTATGAACCTATGATAATAGCCAGCCAGCCCCAGGAACCGTCTCACCTCCCTTTTGGTCTTGGGTCTCGGACAGGTCGCAATTGCCGCCGTCTTATCAATTTGGGGACGCACCTGTTCGTGACCCAAGTGGAAGCCCAGAAACCGTACTTCCACCCGTCCAATCGCACATTTCTTCAGGTTAGCCGTAAGCCCCGCCCGTCTCAGCGATCTCAGAACTGCCCTCAAATGTTGCACGGCATAAGCACAGTGGGGGCGGAGAATTCTATCCATGAGTCGCTGAAACGTGGCCGGTGCTCCGAATAACCCGAACGGGAGGGTGACGAATTGGTGTAACCCAAACGGAGTGGAGAAAGCCGTTTTTTCTCGGGATACTGGAGTCAAGAGGATCTGCCAGTATCCCTTGGTCAAATCCAGTGTTGAGTAAAAACAAGCAGCGCCTAACCGATCGAGCAGTACATCAATCCGCGGCATTGGATAGGCGTCGAATTTAGACACCGCATTGACTTTTCTGTAGTCCACACAGAAGCGAACAGTCCCATCGGGCTTAGGGACAAGCACCAAGGGGCTACTCCAATCACTGTGGGACTCTTCGATTACCCCCATATCGAGCATAGCCTTAATTTCATCCTGAACCACCCTTTTTTTTGTGCTCAGGCAAGCGATAAGGCCGGCTGCGTACAACCACGCCCGGAGGAGTTTCAATGTGGTGCTCTATGAGGTCAGTACGGCCGGGCAGAGGTGAAAACGCGTTGGAAAACTCCATTTGTAACTTTGCCACCTCTGCTTTCTGGGACGGGGAGAGCTGGTCCCCACAGGGGACCGGAGGGCGATCAAGTTTGGTTGGAACCTCCGGCCCCAACTCAGCTCGGGAACCACCATCGCCAGAGAAACAGGGACCGCCTCCTTCCAGTGTTTAAGGAGATTGAGGTGGTATACCTGAAGTGCCCCGCCTCTGTCTGTCCGTCTGACCTCATAGTCAACTTCTTCCACTCGCCGTGTGACCTCAAAGGGTCCTTGCCACTTGGCAAGTAATTTGGAGCTCGAGGTGGGGAGTAAAACGAGTACTTTGTCTCCCGGTGAAAACCTGCGCAGCCGAGTGCCCCTGTTGTAGGTGCGTCTCTGACGTTCTTGAGCGTAGAGAAAATTCTCCTGAGTTAAGTGCCCCAGTGCTTGGAGTTTTGCTCTCAGGTCAAGAACATACTGAATTTCATTTTTGCTGTTTGAAGGTCCCTCCTACCAATACTCTTTAATAACGTCTAGGACGCCCCTAGGTTTCCTCCCATACAACAGTTCAAAGGGAGAAAACCCCGAGGAGGCTTGCGGGACCTCTCACACCGCAAACAACAGAGGTTCTAGCCACTTATCCCAGTTGTTAGTGTCTTCGTGAACGAACTTCCGAATCATATTTTTAAGGGTCTGGTTAAAGCGTTCGACCAGTCCATCCATTTGGGGGTGGTAAACACTGGTACGAATCGATTTAATGCCCAACAATTTGTATAGTTCACGTAAGGTGCGTGACATGAACGTTGTGCCCTGATCAGTCAGGATCTCTTTCGGGATCCCGACTCGGGAGATTACTTTGAACAGTGCCTCTGGATATCGCGCTGCATAATCTACTAAGACCAATAGAAAGCGATACCCACGTGAGCTTCGATCTAATGGTCAGACGAGGTCCATGCCAATTCTTTCGAAGGGGGCCTCGATCAATGGAAGGGGGCGCAAAGGTGCTTTTGGAGTTACAAGGTTCCAGGTGTGAATGGGGAGCAGGGCTGTTAAATTTGGTGTTTTGGGTACAATTCTCTCATACTGGCCACTAGATATTCAACATGGCACCTCATGGCAAAGAACTCTCTGAGGATGTGAGAAATAGAATTTTTGCTCTCCACAAAGATGACCTAGGCTATAAGAAGATTGCCAACACCCTGAAACTATAACACGGTGCCCAAGGTCATACAGTGGTTTTCCAGGACAGAGTCCACTTGGAACAGGGTCGACCAAAGAAGTTGAGTCCACGTGTTCAGCGTCATATCCAGAGCTTGGCTTCAAAAAATAGACACATGAGTGCTGCCAACATTGCTGCAGAGGTTGAAGAAGTGGGAGGTCAGCCTAACAATGCTCGGACCATGCATCAACTCGGTCTGCATGGCCATCATCCCAGATGGAAGTCTCTTCTGAAGCTGACGCACAAGAAAGCCCA